CACGGTTGATGGCTTGCGTCTGAGTGTTGGTGTAGTATAGATTGTTAACATAGCTTCACAAACTTTTCAGTCATGTGATACAATGTCTGCAGTATGGCAGTTTATAGGTTTATAGTGATGTCTAGCACTGGATCATAATGCGACAGACGTATTATATGATGTCCCACCCTGTCACATTATCCTGACACCAAGTCAGTCAATCCTAACACTAATGTCTTGATATTGAGCGCTTGGCGAGACCACTGTTAGTACCATTTCAATAAGTCTTTGGCCTGACTCGGCCGTGGTTCATACCCGTTACATCCAGCAACCGAAACAAACACTACTAGGCTAATTATTATGTAACTTACCGAAAAATCAAACTTGTTAAGGATATTTGTTTGACAAGCGTTTATAACATGAAGGTATTTGTATAAGATAGACGCAACCGATTTCTTTTTATCGCAGGTATTCAAGAATTACAACTGCTTACAATGTTGTTGAGACTTTTCCAGCACTGGGGCACACAAAGGGAAAGGTATTTTTAACTTTTAAATTATTGGAGTTATTCATGTAGAAAATAAAAAGAATAAAACAGATACGAACTAAAACAATGTTTAGAATTTTTTTTTAAAATGTATATTCCAATGAATTTTAAAACTATAGTATACGTGTTAGAAAGTGATCGAATCTTTAGTTTTTAAAAGTACGATCAATTTAAAACTTTAAACTCAATGGATCAATAATTGTTTTTTAAATGAAAATAAAAATGTAATCGTTAACTGTACTGTCATTTAACAAACTTTAAGTATAAAATTCATGTGTTTAACTATTGTAATTTGCCATAAAATGTACTTAGAAATAGAATGTCTATTTAGTAAGTAAAACAAGTGGTCAATTTCTAGCCCTAACTATTCTTTCCATTTGAGACGAAAGAAGAAGATCCACTTGAATGTGACTTCAGATTAAATTCATTCAAATGCCTCATGGGCCGTTTTCTTTTACAAATACAAACAATAAATCCATATCGGCAATGCATACAGACAGATGACGTAGCTACATTGTATATATCTATAAATTAACACTGTTACCTACATTTGGGATCTTTCGTAAAACGCCAAGTGCCTAATTGAATTTTCTAAACGTTTACATCAAACATATTTTAAAACAATGTGTGAATATAAGAAGGGATATTATATAAATAGAAGACAACATAATTGCTTTTCGCCAGTCGGGGGAAATAACCTTTTCGAGACGGCGTAGAAATATACGTCACGATCTAAAGGCATCGACATTCCTACGACTTACCAAACTCGTTCTTTCCTCCCACTCGAAATAAAACACAGAGGTAATTTTATATATTTATGGAATTAGGCATACGACACTGCATGTATAAGCGACATAATTAATTGCCTATTTAACAGCAGTCGAAAAGGCTCTCTTCTGATATTTACATCTAGTGTTTAAAAGATAGTCACTTAAGAGATAATGTAAATGCTAGAGTTCCCGAGAGCTATTCTCAGGAATACGAATTTGCAACAGAGCAACATATCGTCTGTCACAGATTTGACCTTCAAAATTAACAACGTATTAAATGGATAAGTATATGAGTTTGCTGTTAATTTTGACGAACTTATAGTCACATGTATATGCAAAAGCATGCATAGTACATAATCTTCTGATATCCTAAATTAAATTCAATCAAACCGGTCAGTAAAACTTCGTTTAAATTTTTTAAATCTGAAACAGTATGGTCTTTGTTACCAATATAGACCTCATGATGTTCCCTTTTTAAATATTATTTCCTGTTTTAAAGGTAGACAAAATATTGAGGACGAATTCTTAACCATGCTACCTTTCTTTATTTACATCAAATGTCACAGGCTCATATCTCAAAGATCCAGTATATGATTTGCAAGCTGACAGGGTATGTCTAACTCTGCTGATAGAAGATTATGTTGTCAGATAAGATACATATTGGGCAGGTAAGACACACAATTAGTCAGATAAGATCCACAATCACGAAATTCAGCTTCGTTTTAGAGCCTCTTCAGAGAGTGTATAAGCTGAAACAAAAGAAATAATTCCTTTGACTGGATCTTCCTTATGCTACCAAACTATTTTCTAATCAATTCAGTCGCGAAAATTATGCTCTGTAAGTGACAAAACAATATTTTGCAGGAAAAGAAATCGAATTTGGAAACTACATTCAACCCGAATGAATAATGTTGCAGAATAATTATCACTAAAATTATTCAAACCTAAACTGATAATTAATTTTTGCGATTTCAAAATGTTCATTAATAATCTTCTCACTTTCCGGGTAAATTATGTGAATTATAAAGCTCCTATCGTGGTCGTACTTCCCTGCATTCCGAAGTATTATATGTAGAGACAGTGCTTCCGTCGTCCTTGCATAATTCTAGAGTAGCAGCTAACGCTAGAGCCTCCATTTTGTCTTCCTCAAGGTTATAAACATAGTTATATTTTTGATTTTTATCAATGCCTTCAAAAGTCAAAATCATTTTTTATCAGATGAAAAGTTTATACCGAGACCTTGTCATTATTCATATATATATATATATATATATATATATATATATATATATATATATATATATATATATATATATATATATATATATATATATATATATATATATATATATATATATATATATATATATATATATATATATATATATATATATATATATATATATATATATATATATATATGTGTGTGTGTATGTAATTATGTAATTATGTATGTATGTATGTATGTATGTATGTATGTATGTATGTATGTATGTATGTATGTATGTATGTATGTATGTATGTATGTATGTACGTACGTACGTACGTACGTACGTACGTACGTACGTACGTACGTACGTATGTATGTATGTATGTATGTATGTATGTATGTATGTATGTATGTATGTATGTATGTATGTATGTATGTGTACATGTCATGTAAAGCAGGTAAAGTTTGCGGCAGTCCTACGTAATTGAATAGAAGGTCAAAATGTGGTCATTAGCTTTATTTTAATTGGTATGTTTTTTCTACTTGATAAAGCATTTAAAATCAAAACTCCACAAGACTAGCTTAGGAATGGAAAACCCATACTAGAAGTTATCATCGAGAATAAATTATTTTAGCTATGTCGCTTCTTTTAATGATACACTTTATATGGCCTTATATTATGACGGGTGAACATCGAACAAAGTACTAATATTGCCAGTCTGTGCTAAGAGTTAAACATGGTATCAAATGCATCGATTTGAATCCTTTACTTTGATGTTGTTAGGAATATAGTTATGCTGTGCCTCCCAAAAAATCCTAATATTATGTTGAAACTGTTTGGTTCATAAATATTTGGTTAACTTTACCTCTGTGTATTTTTTTAAACTTTTGTAACGTCGCTTTATCTCTTACATTTTTCTGATAAGTAAATATGCTTTTGTGTTTATTGTAAAGGCTTTATTATCAAAACTCTATTACTTTTATATAATTTTTACTCTACTCTTAATCATTAGTTTTTCCAATTTGCTTTATTGCTACATTATCTCCATTAAAAATGCAAAGAGCTTAGTATCCTACAATCTGTAAAAAAAAACATTGTTTTGTATAGAAAGAAGACTTTTACAATAAATGTTATTTCTTGATGGCTGAATAAATAGTACTCAATTGTCCAATTTGTATGTTGTTAAAGACCAAAATCAAGAGTATTCAGAATTCGCGTTCCTTGTATAAACATTAAGATTAAATTGTATGTGTGTGATGAGGAACCTCAAATTATCCTTAAAGCATGCAGCTCAAGTAATGTAAAGTTTAGAAAATAGTATATCAAATAAAGTCATAGGCTGCTAATACTCTTTGAGTGAGCGGAAAAAACAAGGTTTTAGATATCAACAATTTTAACTACATAAAATCTCCTTGATGGTTTTATTTGACAGATTTGTACTCGAAGACAGATGTGATTACTTCCTTGTTCGTTCTACTATTATAAAAGGAAGGAAATATAATATTGTAAATCAATCCCAAAATCTCAGTAAATACAAATATTACTGTCCCGTAATGACAGAATTGGTGTTAGTAGCAGTCGGAGGCAGATCAATAATAATATCTCGCGAGAACATAGATAGATGAATAGAAGAAGAAAACAACGTCTTAAGACCAACAAAAATTGTCTTATATTTTTTTAAATAAGCAAATAAAACGTTTGAAAATCCTACGAAGACAGCTAAATGAAATTTACACGATTTCAAAAATTATAACTAAGTTATTAGAAAGTTTTTTTTTCTTGAAACAATACTGTTTCATTGCTTCTTATGGCCCAACATTAAATGATCAATAATCATATATACTCTATTCCCCGTTAGATACGATTTTCTTGTGTTAAGAGCCTACGGTATTAAAATAAGGAACATAACAGATTGAAAACCAACAAGCTTAGTAAAATTCAACAAATATTTGATTTCCCTGGAATACAAAGAAAAGTGTAATAAAGAGGAAACTACTGTATAAATCATAGATAATCCTAGAATTATAAAACCAAGTCTTAAAATATTTAAGTCCTGAATAAAATTAAAAAGTTCAAAATGAATGCAGAACCGAATTTGTTGATGATTCTGAAGTAGCTTTTAGAGTGTTTATGTGCAAATAGTCTTTTCTTGAATCGTTGTAATATTATTATCGGCTGTAGTTCACTATAAATTCCATTAAATGTCTGTCCAAGAATTTTATCAGAACATTTTTGTATTTCCAGAGAAGCTAATCACTTGATGTCCGAAATAATACTGGACACCACATATAACGCAACATGAGTGTGTAAAATCTTAAAGCTAGAATGAAAAATCCTCTCATTTACAAAATGTATTTACTTGATCTCAGATCAACATTAACATTTTCTATACAACATAAACTTTTGCCTAATGAATAATATCCTTGTAGACAGAACACGATGTTTATTAAATTACAATATAAGTTATAATTAAAATCCAGTACCAATCACTTAGGAGTTTAGTAGCAGAGCGTCTGAATCAGATGCAGGAGGTCTCGGGTTCAAATCCCGGCTGAGTCATTCCAAAGACTTTTGAAAATGAATCTTATCAGCTGCTTTGCTTGGCGCTCAGTTTTAAGAAGTTAATGTTAAGACTTGTAGGACTGATGTCAGGATAATGAGACTGGGTGAGTCATCATGCTACATGTCTGCGGCATGATTTCCCATTGCTAAACATCACTATAAACTGTCGCACTGCAGACACCGTAACAATGACTGACAAAATCGTTAAACGATGATACAATTCACACATACAGACAAACACACACATACACACAGAGACACAGACACACGAACACACACACACGCACACACAGAAAAACCAGAGCCTGGACTATGTCAACCACACTGCGAAAATTCGACAACCTAAACATAGACCCAAATAAACATTTACTTCTGTTAATGATACTTCTGATTTTAAACTCATTCAAGTAGATAACAATTTAACTATCTATTAGTTGTGTAAAAAAAAGTCACTTCAGGTAAAGCAGATAATGAACTCAAAACCTCCATATCATACACTATGGAGATTAGCGTCGCACAAAACTGATCACAAACAAACCAATGACATCAGTGAAGTAATAAAAGCCAGTAGACAGAAACTGGAAAGAGTAACACGCTTCAATTACATCGAATTGATTGTCACAGATGAGGGTTCAAATCCCAAACTAGTTTGCAGGATTACCCAGAGTTCATGAGCAATAACAAGGTCGAGACCCATCTGGAAAGATACTAGCGTTGCTTTTGGTTTCATCTTTCTGTATGATTGTGTACCATGAACGCTTACGTCAGTTCTACTAAGAAGGATTAAAACCTTATAAAGGAGATCCTACCGCAATATCATGAGCATCTCATACATGTAACCAACGAAGAAGTCCAGAACAGTCTCCAAGGAGGCGTCGGGTCTTATGAAAACCTCGTGACCACTGTAGAAAAGCGCAAACTGATCATTGCTTAAGATCATCTGGATTAGCCAAAACAATCTTACAAGGCACAGTGCAAGGGCACAGAAAGGAGTGTGTACTTGTGTGTGTGTAAATGTTTGTGTGTGTGCGTCTGATTTAGATTTTTGACGTAGTTTTAAAGATCTTTAAGTCATATCGCTATGATGTCTGCAGTGTGAGGGTGCATAAGAAGAGGCAGACAGAAAACGAGGTGGGAAGACAACATTAAGGAGTGAACAGGTATGGGATTTGAAGATCCCTAAATGGCAGTAGTGAACGGGGAAAGACGGACAGAAATGGTTATCAAGTAAACTATTGTACCTCAAAGACCTCTTAGGTAAAGGAATTGATGATGACAACGACGATGATGATGATGATTGATCTGCATATAATATCTAGTTTTTTTCCACTGGTAAGACATTAAATTAAACTATGTCGTTGGCATGAAAAAATAATCTTTAGGCATGGAAGCCAACATTAGGGACAATTCTTGCTTTTTATTGTAATATACAGACTGAGCAACGGAGGGAACATTTACAAATTATTGACGATATCTAGCTTTAAGCTATGTTTCTTTTATGAAACCATTGGAACTCATTCAGTTACAAACGTGTGCTGTGTTCTGCTTTATCCCATTACAATATCATTACTTGGTTTGGAACATAAATTTCATTACTTGAGTGAAATGGTGTATCCATTAGCCCATTAAGGAGTGTTCAGTAGCGGCGTCTTCAATGTCATTATCTTAATTTATGATCTTAACGTCATACAGAAAGCTGCTTTTTGTCGCAATCTGATATAGGTTTTATACATATGTGCAATAGCGGCATTTATGCAACGTCACCACTGTGACATATAAGCTCTCTTATTATTCAACAGTCTCATTACGAAATGTGTATGCAGTACAAAAATATCCGATATCTGCACTGATATTTTAACCTCTGTACCATTAGATTAAAAGGAGTTAATAAATGTAAAATCTTAAGTTTAATAAATGTCTTTGCAAGTCAGTTTTCTCATTTTGTCTATGCGGTTAACAAGCAATACCGCAGTACATATCACTATGAAGCGAAGTTTCGAACTCGAATTGATGACAGAAGGAATTTATCGTAAACGTCATTAATAAATAATTTGATGTTCAGTATCTCTATGAGCAAGAAACAAGCTGAAACACACACACACATAAATATACATATATATATATATATATATATATATATATATATATATATATATATATATATATATATATATATATATATATATTTATATATATATATATATATTACTTTTGAATATAGACTTTACGAAAAGAAGTAGATTCTTTGCAATTATTTGCGAGCTATGTACAATTCTTAAATTCAGTCATGCGGTACAATGTTATTTCCCACTTTATACGTACTTAAGAATTAGTAAGGTTTAAGATATTTTTTGTCATTTGTTATTAAATATTTACGGTACCTTCTTGTTTCAGAAATAAGATAATTGGAAATGTTGTGGGATATATGGTACGAAAATTTCGCACACTAATGAGAGTTAAATAGTCTTTGGTAAAATAAACAAGGAGTCTTCGTAAGAAGAAATATTACTATAAAAATACACGGATCTGAAAGTTTTTCTATCTCTAGATTTTCAAAGTTTTTGTACAAACTTAAGTTTAGAATCGATATTGAATGAATATATTTTAATCATATAGCTCTCAGCAGGAGATGAGCTTTTGTTCTATAAACATATTAACACCTGATAAAAGGGACCGCCGACGAAAAAGCTTAAAATTTAAGCTCCAGATACATTTATGTTTTCTCAGTACTTTCAAAGTTAGCATGTATGTGAGGTTATAATAATAAACTGGTACTAAAAGCCTTTTAATTAAATAAACATTAGGAGAGAAGTTATTAAAGGTCCATTTTTGTATTCACTTTTAATGTGAATATTATTACATTGTTATTTCTGTACTTCTTGACTGCTGGACCGTTACCGTTTGCCTTTTCCACAATAACAGGCAGTGAATCATTTAATCTCAGTTGGTCAAAATACAAATGCAGCCACAGTCACTCACGTCCCTGCGATATGTAGGATAATCCCTCGTCTGTTAAAATACTTTGATAACCTCGAAGGTACGATAGTAACAATGGACATTTTGGATGCATGTTTCTCAAAATATAGATAATGGAAGTTTCTAATGAAAACACTGTTGTAAACTAACATCGGACGATTCTTCAGAAATCTTGAAGTCAGGTTATTAAGCAAAAATCAAATCTGTTGATAAAAACGTCAGCCATACTACATAATACCTATCAACATCAGAAAATAAGACATCTAACTTCATACAATATGGAGGATATAGAGTACCCGCCGTGCAGCAGAGATTAATTCAGTCTAAGATCTATTTCCAAAATTATATTTAAATACAACAGGCAAATAAATTTTGAATCTTCGACAATTTTTGGTTTTAAGCATTTCAGCGAAAGAGACATCTTGGAGCCTCAGCAATCAGAACCGTCCTTGAACATAAATTACTTTTTCCAGGCATGTGCAACTTTACCCAAGGCACGGACTGTATAGAGAGTTACAAATATGCGCAATAACATGTAAATGGTACCAGAAAAATAAAACAGGTATCGGGCCATATACAGCCCTCGTATTGCACGTTGAACGTACATGCATTGCTTGAAGGAATGCAGAGACGTTTCTGTAAAATAGTCATATAAGAAACTAGTTAAAAGTTTAGGTAGCACTAATTTTGTGAAGTTTTATCTGTACATTGCATGGACTAGTTCATGGGTTTATAACTCCGGTATGTGTTTTCTTATTTAGACACAGCGTTAGTAAGAATATCAGGTTAGAAATGAATATCTCTACAATTATTGAACAGACACATTAATGAGCGGTCCGTCTTGCTTTCAAGTGTTGCTGCGTCAAGTCGTGAACACATACAAAATAGTGAGGACATTTTTAAATTAGTCGAAATATTTACCTCCGTGTGAATGGAATAATAATAATAATAATAATAATAATAATAATAATAATAATAATAATAATAATAATAATAATAATAATAATAATAATAATAATAATAATGAATATATATGAAATTTATATGCAACGACCACTGAACAATACTTGAACAATACTAAGAAAACGGTTTTCCTGGTTTATTTTCAGTAACACATAAAGAACAATCAATAAAAATATGATGTAATTGCATAGGATAGTGTCTGTTCAGCATTTAATTATGCAGTCCTTTGTGTACATAGAATGCTGTTTTATATGGCAGCCTGACATCTCGTATGTGATAGTCAGTGACTGAATGGCACAACTACAGTAAATCAATATAAACAAGAAAATCTTATATTCAAGGGATAACACCTACAGTAAACCAAACTCGACGTTTGAAAATTAATCTTGTGCGACACACAGGCTTCTATATTATGAATAATTTATTATGGTGGTTTGATTTTATCTCAACCACACCATAGCATTGCAGATTGCAATTAAACAAACAGTTGTATTTGACCTAATGTATTTAATATGATCGCGAACTGAAATCATCGAAAATTCATCAAAAGAAATATTTGTCATTCAATTGTTCACATTAGTTGAATGTGAATGCAACGAATATAAGCCTGCTTGCAGTTTTTCAAGTAATGGCGATAATATGAATGAAATGGCATGAAATAGTATGCATAATTGTATGACCAGTAACCAATACAAAAAGTAAAAACTTCTTTTTCGCTTCTACTCCAAAAGCAACTTCTACTTATAATTGTACAACCTATATTTAACTATACAAATTTTTGCTGTGAATTGCATCCATAAAATTACTTGAAATGATATTTATTATATAATAATCCAAGCAAACAAAATCTGAACACATCTTAATCCAAGAATTATAAATGCAAAAGCATCTTAATGCAAGCAACTAAAATGTACGTACCTTCAACCATCGTAGTCAAAAAGACTAAATATGAATACTTACCCAAATAGCGTGAATCATTGCATGGGTTGCAGCATTAAATAGTCTTTAAATGATCTGGATTATTTAACTATATAAGTTTACTTAATGTCATTTACTTT